ATTGTTGGTTCAGTGTCTTTTGTTTTTGGTGGAGGCTTTATATAGACCTACAGGGCTTTTTGCCTCTCACTGCTCTGTCATTGTTTTTTTTTTCTTTGACTTGATGTATTTTTGTTGCGCTAATAAACTAAACTAAGCTAATGCTTGGTTTCTATTTGAGTTGGTGAAACTAAATCTGTAATTGAGGAACTCAGTATAATAAAAAGAAAAGCCTGATGACTCATACAGTCATGAGACAGGGAATTTTTTATTATTATAATAAAATAGTTATTTTACTCATGTTGTCCAGCGTTGAGCTTCAGGACTTCTGCTTGTGTTTAGCCGTTTCAGCCTTCGCTGTGGCGGCGCTGGTCCTACCTGGAAGCTACACTCACTACCTGGACTTGATCCACTCTCTGTCCGTCGGGCCTTACCTCATCGGGCTGGCCAAGTTCGGCATCGCCATGCCCTTGTCCTACCACAGCTTCAACGGCGTCCGTCACTTGGTAAGACTGCTCGTCTGAATGCAGCTCGTTGGGACGTAAACATCAGCTCAATATTGTTTATTTATTTGTTTTTATTATCAGTACTGGGATATTGGCAAAGGCTTGAAAATGCCAGAGGTGTACCGCACCGGCTACACGGTCCTCGGCCTGTCACTCCTCACCTCCATTGCCTTGGTTCTGATGTGATGGCAGGACAGCGAGCGAAGACCAGAGGGACCCGAAAAGGACTGAAAGCAGTGTTTGACTTTTTTATTTCTGTGCTTTGGACTCGTCCRCGCCTCGTTTAATCAAAGCTAAATAAAGGATTATATTGTGCTGCACACAGACATCATGTTGTGATTTTGTTTTAATTACTTTGTAAAGCTCGTKGTCGTTAGAAAGTGCGTTAAACACGACCTGGTTTATTTCACACACGTTCTCCTCTCCGTGTGAACAYGAGCCAAAATTAGACGTGTCCTACATGTCGCGTCCTTACGTAATTTAATCACTGACGTCAAATTCATTAATCACTTTCTCTTATAAGTGCTCCCAACGTTGCCAGGATGAGTGCAGCCATGTTTGAAGAGCTGTTTATCTCAGGCTTTTATTCACTTGTTTGCCCCGCGAGGCTGCAGACGCTCAGATGCATTTTTAATTTTTTTAAACACGAGAAGAAGAGGAGGTGAAACGTTGCGAGGCAGCCCAGCGGTGGAAGCTGCTCCTCACCTGCGGCCCGCTTCAGGCTTCACCTCCCTGTGAGCTCCACGCTGCACCTGAGCAGCTTCTGGCCCGCTCAGGTTGTGATGTTCTGTCAGATCCAGCTCTGTTTGTGAGGCGCACCGTTACAAGTGCACATGGGGGGGAAAAAAAAGGTAAACGTTTGGGGAGAACAGCAACACTGGTTTGGAAAATACCTTCTAAATGTGTTCATGGTGGCTCAGAGCCTCGTATTGAAAATTCACTTTCATGTTGAAAAGTATGAAATCAAACCTGAAYTATGTGAAATGGTGCAAACAGTTTACCTCATATACTGAATGCAGTTTAAACTGCGGGTGTGCGCTCAACATAAACAGCTCCCTCAGCTGAATCAGTCATTTTGGAAAATCAAAGTGCTCACTTTTACTCAGTACTTTTACTTTTAAGTAGATTTTGTGTCAGAAATTTACTTTTGATACTTAAGTACAAAAAATAGATACTTTGACTTTTACTCAATATTTTTAGAGAAGACTAACTT